AGAAATGAATAAGAAAAATAGACATGTGCAATTTGTTTCGGGCCGAATATGTATTCGGTCGAATTTCGGGAAATTTGAACATTCGGGTACTTCCGAATGTCCAAATAGCCGAAGTGCCGAATTACAGAGGTTCCGAAATTACCGAAGTGCCGAAGTTCCAAAGCACAGTTTTGCCTAAGTACTAATATACTTACCCAGTGGAAGAAGAAGAATGTTATACTGTATACAATTTTAAATAAAAAGTATACAATCAAAGCCAGGATTCAGCTGTAAGCATTTACAACACTTACAACAATCAAGTAACATACATTCATATAAAATGTAAGTTTCTTAGCCGTCAATGTAATGACAGGAATGAATAAGTAGATAACTCCCTAATTCCCACGGTATTAGGGAGCTATCTACTAAAAGGCTGAAAGACCTAAATTGGTCTTTCAGCCAAATTTACTAATACTAAGTAAAGATTACTTAGTATTAGTAAATTATGCCCCTACTCGCTATACCGCGAGTAGGGGCATGTCTATTAAACAGTGAGCAGCCTATGACCATGGGGGAGGACATTTGCTCCTCCCCCTCATTCTAATTTAGGGCCCCCACCCACCACTCAGGGGTGGGGATCAGGGGGGAGGACATTAGGTATCCCCCCAATTAGTATTTAGGGCCCCCACCCACCGCTCAGGGGTGAGGGGGCCAGAGGGGAGGAAATTAGGTCCTCCCCCTAATTAGTATTTAGGGCCCCCACCCACCACTCATTCTAATTTAGGTCCCCCACCCACCGCTCAGGGGTGGGGGCCAGGGGGAAGGACATTAGGTCCTCCCCCCTCATTCTAATTTAGGGCCCCCACCCACCGCTCAGGGGTGAGGGCCAGGGGGGGCAATAGCCCCCCCTTATTCTAATTCAGGGCCCCCAGCTCGGGAGGGGGGACCCTTTTTTAAAAAAAATAAAATTTAATAGTGCTCACTGTTTACTAGCCATTCCCCTACTCGCGGTATAGCCAGTAGGGGCAGAATTTACTAATACTAAGCCGTGGGAAATAGGGAGTTATCAACCAAGCGGCTGCAAGACAAGCTCTGAAATTCCGAAGTGCCGAAGTGGCCGAAGTGCTGAATTGCCGAAGTCCCGAATTTCGGAATGCCGAGCCGAACCGAAAATTTTTCCCATGCACATGCCTAAAGAAAAACTCCAGAGTAATACTTGCAACCACCCGAAACATTCATTGTATTGAGCTATTTCAATTGCATTTGTTTTATTTGTTAATTGCAAACAGGTGAAAGACTGTACATTTTGACAATAAACCTCATTTTTAATGAGGGTTGAATAATTTTGATTACAGCTTTGTAGTGGATATTTGTAGGAATTTTCAACACCAAACCTCATGAACAAAAAAATACAAGTGTTGAGCACTAAGTGATTCTTCTAGAGCACACCCTTCATCTCAACTTGCAGTATCAAGTTGTTTGAGAAACAATACTGTAAAAACAGCAAATGTGTGTGCCCTAGAATAGGGCACATTTGTTCTGGAGGGCCAGGGCCGCCATCAGGGGGTGGCCCACGCACGCTGATGGGGCCTATCGGGTGGCCCACGCACTTTGGGCCACCCGAGGAAGTGGTCCCTTCCTCCCAGATCACTCTGCGCGGGAGGAGAAACAGCCCTGCAGTGAAGAGGGAGAGCCGCGCCGACTCCCATCAGCACCAGCCACCCTCCTGCAAAGAAAAGGTAAGAAACAGGAAGGTGGCTGAAAAATGAGCTGTGTGTGTATGTATGTCTGTCTGTATGTATGTATGTATGTCTGTCTGTATGTATGTATGTCTGTGAATGAATGTATGTATGTCTGTCTGTATATATGTATGTTTGTCTGTATGTATGCCAGTATCTATGTATGTATGTATGTGTGTATGAATGTCAGTGTATGTATGAATGTATGTCAGTATATATGTATGTATGCCAGTATCTATGTATGTATGTATGTAATTATGTGTGTATGAATGTCAGTGTATGTATGTCTGCATGTCATTATGAATGTGTGTATGTATGGATGTCAGTGTCTGTATGCATGTATGTCTGTCTGTATGAATGTATGTATGTATGTCATTATGAATGTATGTCTGTGTATGTAGGTATGTGTGTATAGATGTCAGTGTCTGTATGCCAGTATGAATCTATGTCTGTCTGTCTGTATGTCATTTTGAATGTATGTCTGTGTCTGTATGTCCTTATGCATGTGTGTCTGTATGTATGTTAGTATGTCTCAGTATGTGTGTGTCAGTATGTATGCCTATATGCGTGTATGTCTGTTTCAGTATGTATCAGTGTGTGTATCTGTGTCCTTTTGTATCAGTGAATGTGTTTGTGTCTGTGTGTGTATTCCTGTGGGCGGGATTTGGAGGCGGTCCCTGTGGGCGAGCTTGGAGGCGGGCCCCCAGGGGCCCAGACCCTGAGCTGAGTTAGGGGCCCAAAATTTCTGGTGGCGGGCCTGTGGAGGGCCATATTGTCCACTGAAATATGTATAGAGGGCAGTGTTGTTGTTTCAATGCTGGGATGTATGCATTGCCACACATACACAGATACACTTAGTGACACATTCAAACTAACACACAGGTACCTTTAAGTAACAATTGACATAGTTTCAGCTGTAGTTTTTAGCCTTTCTCCCTCCTCCTGTGTGTGTGTGTATCTGCCCCTGCCTTCCGCACAGCTCTCAGCAAGCTGGCTGTGGGAGTGAAAATGAACATTATGATAGGGTCCCGGTCTGCTGCGCTATTATAGGCAAATAGGCCCCTAATCTATAAGCCCTCTTGAGTCCCCCAATGACACGATAGGCCTCCACCACTGCCCCAACTAATTTTACACATGCACATAGTTGCCAATATACACACACATATGTATATATATCCTGATGAAAATCTGTAGTGCAAACTGAAACATTGATCTTTTAAACTTTGAGCAATAAAAGCTACGTTTTCTGAAGAAGGAGGAAATGAAGGAAAAATACATATCTGGGCCCCCGGAATTTTATTTATTTGATTGTTTGTTTATTTATTTATTTATTTTTCCCACAAATTAAGGAATTATTATGGAAAGAAAGGGAAATTATATAAAAAGGGGAATAAATCTACACGAAGGGTTACACCTTTAATCACTCAGAATATTTAACTGAATAACAATATGGAATAATATGAATTTATAAAGTACACGTCGGAAAGAGTATCTCACATATTAACAAAGTTTAAAAGCAAATGGGGAACGAGTCTATAAGAAGGGACTCACTTTCACTTATGATATTTAACGGAATTACAAAATAGAATAACACTTTTTTGTTAATAATATAATAAAAAGGACACACATAACAATAAACACAGTTTATTTACACAATATAACAACCGAGGCTTTATGATACATATTATCCTTAACCCTCCTATTTAGACAAAATAAACTGAGATTAGAAAGAAAGGAAGAAATGAGAGACCTGAGAGGTGAGAGAAGATAGAGGAGACATATTGACTAGATATAAAGATATGATTTAATAAAGAACAGATAGTGAACAACACTCGTTGGTTTTACAGTCAGGATCAGATGAGGAGGAGAGAAGAAGGGAGGAGGATTACTATGCAATTGGTAGGGAAGTGTGAAGGAACAGGATGAAGAAATTGACAATGCATGAATGAAATGAGAAATTTTGCTCCTCAAGAGACCTCCGTTCGGTTTGCCATTTGCTAATGGCAATTATTTTGATGCCCCTGGATTTTGGTAAGGTATCCACAGGGACACCATGGTACCCCAATATTTACGGGGGTTTTTTGTGCGTATGTTTTTTTTTTGTTTTTTTTTGCTTGTTTGCCGAAGGAACTGTTTTTTTGTCTTGGGCCCGAGGGGGAGGGGGTTTAGGTGGATTGAGGGGAAAAGGAGAATAGGTATAAAAAGAAACTAGTTAGATATTATGGTTAGATTTTCCACGATAAATACCTAGGGACTTAATTCTCCTTTTAAAATATCCATTTTATTAGAATATTTGAAGAAACAGAGAATTGATGTTTGCGGTGTTCAAGAGACGCATTGGAGGAAGAAGGATAATATTAATTTAACCCCTTAAGGACACATGACATGTGTGACATGTCATGATTCCCTTTTATTCCAGAAGTTTGGTCCTTAAGGGGTAAAGATCCAACACCTATACGACGGTCCTTTCTGCGTCTCTTGAACACAATAAAAAAAGAGGGGTTGCTATATTGATATCCAAAAATTTTAATTTCCGAAATATATATACAGAACAAGATACTGAGGGAAGATTTATTATAGTAGTCTGTGAGATTGATAACATTATATACACAATAACTAATATCTATGCTCCAAACCATTCCTCATTACCATTTATAACTAAGCTTTAAAAAAGATTAGATAAGGTAAAACAAGGAATTCTGGTGATTTTAGGAGATTTCAACTTAATATTTGACCCACTTTTAGATTAAAAAAAACCATGACAGGACAGATACCAGAGAGAGGAATTTTCAAACGCTCTGAAAATTTCAGACAGTTAACTCAAAATTATTCTTTACTAGATATCTGGCATATTTTCCACCCAACGGATTTAGATTTTACTTGTTTTTCAAAATCTCACTTTGCATATTCTCGCATTGATTTTGTACTGGGAGATATCAAATTAGCCCAACAAACAAAAACAATTAAAATAAACGAGCTTACATAGTCAGATCACAATGCAGTTATTCTGGATATTAAGGACACCTTTGAGATTCCAAAACCAGAATGGAGACTAAATAATTATATTCTGTCAAATAAAAACAATATAGAATTCATTAAGAAACAGACAAATTATTATTTTAAAGAGAATCAATCTGACCAGATCCCCCCTTCGGGAATATGGTGCTCATATAAGGCGGTGATTAGGGGTTTATTAATAAAACTAGCCTCTGAGAATAGAGATTACAGAGAAAGAGATTTAACAAATCTGTAAATTCAACTATATAATCTCTCAAGAGATAACAAAATAGCCCCAAATGAGCAGCTGTCAAATAGAATCTCTACCCTACAAGACAGGATTAACGAACTACTAATAATGAAAGTAAGCAAAACACTTGAAAGATTAAAGGCAACTTTTTACTACACAGGGAATAGGGCAAATAAACTGTTAACTAACAGACTCAGAAGAGAAACTAAACAAAAAATTTTTCTAAAATCTTATATAAGGGCAAGACCTGCCTATCTCCAGAGAGAATAGGAAAAGCTTTCAATGATTATCATTCATTATATAATTTACCTCATAACCAATCGTACCCAAAAGATTATTTTAAAGATAAGATCATACCAAAGATTTCAGAATCTCAACTGAAGGAACTGAATGCCATAATTTCTCAACTTGAAATGCACACAAGGATAGAGACACTGAGACCTAATAAAGTGCCAGGCCCAGACGGGTTTACCGGGATTTTTTATAGATTATTTAGGGATGAAATATCACCACACTTAGAGAATACTTTTAATGAATTTATATTAAAAACTAAAATTCCGCAGGAAATGCTTAAGGGTAATATTGTCCCAATATTAAAATCAGGTAACCCAGAAAAAGTAGACAGTTACCGGTCGATCTCTCTGTTAAATGAAGATATTAAGTTATACATGGGAATATTGGCAGATGGAGTTAAGCGAGTAGTTAGCCACATAATACATAGAGACCAGGTGGGATTCATCCCAGGACGATTCTCTAGTAATCACATAAGAAACTTGATTGGGATATTGGAACAGGCCAGAGAGGATTGTACACCCATGCTGACCCTGTCGTTGGATGCAGAAAAGGCATTTGACATGGTCGGCTGGGCTTTTATCAGAGAATCCTTATTATCCTTTGGATTTTCTGGTGAGATACTTAGTGCCATAATGGCCCTATACAATGGTCCCCAAGGCAGAATTACAGGCTCTGGCATTAAGTCCAAATGGTTCGGAATTTCAAACGGTACCCGACAGGGTTGTCCTTTATCACCATTACTATATATACTATCGATTGAACCTCTAGCAAAAGACACACGATCTAAGCAAGATATAAAAGGGTTTGGAGAAAATAATGATCAAAAAATCAAGCTATATGCTGATGATGTATTGATAACTATCCAGAAACCTGAAGATTCCATTCACCATGTGGTAGAAATTATTAAAATGTATAGTAACTGCTCTAACCATAAGATAAATAGTGACAAATCCATAGCGTTATATCTAAATACATCTCAAAACAATATTGATACTATAGAAACTAAATATGGATTTCAACAAGCTAAAAGTGATTTTAATTATTTGGGTATAAAAATTTCAAAAAACCCAAAGAAATGGATGGAAATTAATATTCTACCATTAATTAAAGAAACAAATGATAATTTAAAGAAATGGCAAACTCTAGAAATTTATTGGTTAGGGAAAATAAATACACTAAAAGCATATATTGTACCAAAATTCTCATACATCATGAGAATGATCCCTTTAGAGATCCCAGATAGTTGGCTAGAACTAATCCAATCATCATTCACTAAATGTATCTGGTCAGGCAAGAAACCTAGAATCAAAAAAATATTATGTCTAGGAAAAAAAAATGAAGGAGGCATGAGTATCCCAATTATCCAAGATATTGCACAAGCCAATTTAATAGCGCATGTCCTAATGATAAATAAGGAAGATTCTGTAAATGAAAACTGGTACAAAAGAGAACAGATTTTGACCCCGGGAGAGAAGGACTATAAAACCCTTTTATGGCCAATAGACAAAAAACAAATCAACATATTAAAAACTCTAAATCGCTGATAGTCCAACTAATTTTTCCCACCTGGTCTCTTTTTTTTTTAAAAAAGGGTGCCTAAAAATGAAGATAATTCCTGATATAAATTTAAATATACTGTCTGATCTAATGACAGACATAAACCTAGAAGTTTGGATTCAGAAAGGTATAAAAATGATATCCTATCTTCTAATAGGAAATAAATTGAAATCTTATGAACAACTCCAAACTGAATATAGTATTCCCCTGACCGAGTGGTTCAACTACGTTAGGATAAAGTCATTTTTAGGCACGTTTTTAAAATCTAATCCTCTTGAGTTACCAGTTAAGCTTCTCTCAGAAATATATGCGCAATCAGACTATACCCATCTAACTAGTAAATGCCCAAAAATAATATACAAGACTCAGATTAAACCAATCCCCCTGGCAATTAGTAAATGGAATTCTGATTTGCAAAAGGATATAACTATGAAAGAATGGAATAATTCCCTTAATACATTATACAAAGCTTGTCATTGCTTAAATATACACGAAACCCATTGTAAAATATTAAATAGATGGTATAGAACACCTCAAAAGATTGCAAAAATGTATCCTACATCGCCATCTAATTGTTGGAGATGTAATGAACCAACTGCGGATTACAGACACATTTGATGGGATTGTCCAAAAATTAGACCTCTTTGTGAAAAGTTAAATCAATACTTATCATCCTTATTAGAAATGAAGATTATATTAACCCCAAGTATGGCTCTACTACATATGGACATGACTGTGTTTAATAAAGAATTTAGACCCATTATTCTTCATATTTTAATGGCTGTGAAAACCTCAATAGCCAGAAATTGTAGATAATTGGTCTAAGATTCATGTCCAAAGTATTGTGCAATATAAAATCGAAAGAGCCATTGCCAATTTTGCACCAAAAAAGGGCCACCACTATAGTTACTGGGACAGATGGGTAAAAAAAATTGGATCAGAATAATAAATTTCTTTTGTGTTTAGTTAATTATTGTAACGGATCACCTGGCACCCCGACTGGGTACCTCCGTTGAAAGATGCTCCTAGCGCTTCCAGAGGACTCCAAGCACTCCACCAGACACCATAAGCACCGCAGGCTGCAGCTATCTCCCTTCAGAACGAAGCAGGAACAAGCTCTTACAAGAGCTCAGTGATTATAGCAAGGGAATATGCCTAGCATAGCAATCCCTTGTAGCAGATTCCCCCAATAAGAGACAGGACTCAAGTTGAGGGTAAAAATAGAACTCTCTGGCTGCTAGCTTGCAGCCCTTTTTATTAGGTGCTCCCATGAAGGGGAGGGACACACACAGTAACGTACATTAACCAATCACACAATAGTTACATCCCACACATAGCCCTCCCCTCTACCTGTAAACTAATTATCTGTACACACAGGGAAATACAATTATCATAGGTAGGGAAAATACAGTTTTTACACAACATTCATAACTCCCAAAATATACATCACATTCGCATAAAAATACATATTCACAATCAATCCATTCAGGGGAACAACATATTAAAAATGGCATGAATCAGACCAGGGGTTCAAAAGTTAGTAAAAGTATCTTTTGTTCCCCCTGGCTCAAACAGTAAAAGTAAAACATCCCCACAATGCATCCTGGCTTCCTCCCTTCTGCCCTGGAGATAATTGGAGAAGGAATCTAATTATCTCCAAAGACAGAGCCAAACTCCATTACCCACATGGCAGACAAAAAGACAGTAAAAGACATAAAATTACATACTGACACATTTAGTACATAAAACACACATTTCTACATATCCCCAGATAGCTTGGATCTGACTGCACATTATTAGATGAATGGCACTCAGATCACACGAATAAGCCTTTCTGCAGGGAAAATAAACAGTTTAACCTGCAGGGCCATAGTCCAAAGGCAAGAGGCGGGCAAGCAGCCCCCTCCAAGGACACGTGGCGAGGTCGGTTTCGCCACACTTCTCCCCTTTGCCCCCCAGACTAACAGGGTATCTGACCTCCTGCCGGTCAGTGCCCTGGTTAGTCCAGCAACCCACCCACGAAGCACAAACAGCAGTACAGCCCACCCACAATAAATGTTTACTCCACCTGGATAAAGTAGCAACTTGTCCATGTCCAGGTGCCTCACCACGGCTGTGTGGGGAGCTGGTAGACTGCCTTGGTGGGTTGCTGAGTGGGCAGAGACCAGCGGTACTCTGCCCTGGTGCCAGCGCTACCACCGAAGTAGCCTGATTGGAGCCTGGTTGTGGGAGGGGGAGACCGACCGTCTCCCCTCTGGGTACACAGCTCTGGGGCTGGGGAACAGGACCGACCGTCTCTACCCCTTGGGCTGTAAGCGCAGAGACTACGGTCCCATCTGCACAGTTGCGGGGCTCAACATCTCCCCTTGGTGGGTTAGGCTGCCGCTGGAGAGAGGGTGTAACAAGCTCCTCTCTCTGGACTGTCAACTGCCGCTGGGGAGAGGGGTTAACAGGCTCCTCTCCCTGACACTCTCTCTGCTGGTGGAGAGGCGGACCAGCTGTCTCCCCTTTCATTATTTTGTCCTGCTGCTGGGGTGTGAGACTGACGGTCTCTGCTCCCTGCAGGACACACTGCCGCTGGGGAGGAAGGACGACACCTTCGGCTCCCTGGGTTACACACTGCTGCTGGGGAGGACGGACGACACCATCAGCTCCCTGGGGTACGCACTGCCGCTGGGGAGGAAGGACGGCACCTTCCGCTGGGGCAGCCTGTAGAAAGTCAGGCTCAGGGGAAGGAAACAAGGGAGGACAGAGGCCAGCGGCGCTCTGCCCAGTTGCCAGCTCTTCTGCTGGGGGGTCAGGGAACAAAGGAGTTGGCTGGGGAGGAGAAATATCACTTACCTCCCCCTGGTACTCCGGCTGCTGCTGGGGGGGGAGGTCGATGCTCTCCACTTTCTGTAACTCCAGCTCTAGTTGGGGATCTGGGCCGGTTGCCCAGCATCCCTGTAGGGCCGGTGGAGAGATCTCGGTCCCATCTCCACCTGCCTGCAGGGGGTCCTCCCAGGACCAGTCTATGAGGTCCTCTACCTCGGGTACCTCTGGTTGCTGTTGGGGAGGGAGACCGGTTGTCTCTTCCTCCAATAACACATTCTGCCGCTGGGGAGTGAGACCGACTGTCTCCCCTCCCTGTAAAACATACTGCCGCTGGGGATCTGGGCCGGGTGCCCAGCATCCCTGTAGGGCCGGTAGAGAGACCTCGGTCCCATCTCCACCGGCCACCTCGGTTTCTTCCTCGTCCCACTCTACTTGTGGCTGGAGTTTCACCCAACGTGCCCACTGGCCTTCCCTCAACGCCCTGTGTTGTAGGTTCCGGGTCACCATGTCCCACACGAACCGCACGTATTTCTCCTCTGGATTGGGTCCGTAAAACTTCAGGTGCAACCCTACCATCGTGCCAAACTCTAGTACGGAGTAGCTATACGCCATGCTTGCTGTAGCCACTGCTGGTTCCATTATGTTGCTGAAGATAAGGACGCTGCACAACTCCACACGTTACCGGTGTCTCCGAGCTGCTTCTCCTCGCACTAGGATGCCATCCCGCCGCTTGCCACCAATGTAACGGATCACCTGGCACCCCGACTGGGTACCTCCGTTGAAAGATGCTCCTAGCGCTTCCAGAGGACTCCAAGCACTCCACCAGACACCATAAGCACCGCAGGCTGCAGCTATCTCCCTTCAGAACGAAGCAGGAACAAGCTCTTACAAGAGCTCAGTGATTATAGCAAGGGAATATGCCTAGCATAGCAATCCCTTGTAGCAGATTCCCCCAATAAGAGACAGGACTCAAGTTGAGGGTAAAAATAGAACTCTCTGGCTGCTAGCTTGCAGCCCTTTTTATTAGGTGCTCCCATGAAGGGGAGGGACACACACAGTAACGTACATTAACCAATCACACAATAGTTACATCCCACACATAGCCCTCCCCTCTACCTGTAAACTAATTATCTGTACACACAGGGAAATACAATTATCATAGGTAGGGAAAATACAGTTTTTACACAACATTCATAACTCCCAAAATATACATCACATTCGCATAAAAATACATATTCACAATCAATCCATTCAGGGGAACAACATATTAAAAAATGGCATGAATCAGACCAGGGGTTCAAAAGTTAGTAAAAGTATCTTTTGTTCCCCCTGGCTCAAACAGTAAAAGTAAAACATCCCCACAATGCATCCTGGCTTCCTCCCTTCTGCCCTGGAGATAATTGGAGAAGGAATCTAATTATCTCCAAAGACAGAGCCAAACTCCATTACCCACATGGCAGACAAAAAGACAGTAAAAGACATAAAATTACATACTGACACATTTAGTACATAAAACACACATTTCTACATATCCCCAGATAGCTTGGATCTGACTGCACATTATTAGATGAATGGCACTCAGATCACACGAATAAGCCTTTCTGCAGGGAAA